TAGGAGACAATTGCGGCCAATGTTGTCGAGTATAATGGATGTGACAAATCATGAGGGTATTCAAGATGTCAAACTTGTGAGAGAGGTATCAAAGTTGTCATTCATCGACATATACTGGCTCTACGACGACGGAGGGCTCACTCTTCTCATCCCTTATATACTATCGGAGAGGAAAAAGTGGCGAAAATGCAAATTAAGAATATTTGTTATCATTGATAAACAATCCAATGACAGTCACGTCACGGAGAATAAGTAACCATTTGTTTGATTTATAATAATTAATTGATTATAAATATTTAAATCTTTATAACAGCGCATCTGATCTGTTAAACAAATTTCGTATCAAATATTACGATATCATAGTATTGGAAATTCCGGAGTTATCCCCATATAAAAGGTATTATTAGACAATTATAATCAATAAATTAATCATTAATTAATTTAATTATTGTTTAGAACTGAAGATATTCTCCAATACGTGAGGGACCAGAATCTGTCCTCATTTAGAGATCCAAAATCACAGTTTGAATTATCACATGCTTTAAACACATTTCAGTCAAAGGTATAAATAGTTATTACTTGTATTAATTTACAGTACAATTATCGCAAATAATTACACTTATTGTAATTCAATAGACAAATAAATTTCTGGCTTTACGTGAGTTAATAGAGAAACACTCGACAGAATCGGAGCTAATTGTTATGTAAGCATAAGATATTATAATTTTATTATATGTTTAATAATGAATTATGCGAATTTGTGATGATCAGGACAATGGAAATCCCACAAAAAGGCATATTTAATGCTCATCTATACATGTATTGGTTGGATATGTTATCGTACGGAATGCCGCCCTTTATGTTTGTCCGCGGAAATCAAGTCAATGTCTTAACATTTCATTTGGATTAGTATTTTGTAATTTATTGATTATTTTAAGTCATGTAAATTATACACATTATGTTTGACACAATAATTGCTAATATTGTGAGATTCATTAATGCCGTGATATTGAATTGTGATAATTTTGTATAATATAAATTATTTATCAATTAGATTAGTAAATATTTGTACATTTTATGTTAAATAATATTTTTTTCAATTATAAACACTGTATAAACTAACAAAACAAGACTTTAAAAGTGATATTTCGCAACCAATTGTGAAATATACGGCTTTAATGGTTAGGAAATATTGGCAATTCATTGTATAGTTTAATGATTAATCTGTTATCGGCTTTCACTGGATCTGACAATATCAATGATAACAAATATTCTTAATTTGCATTTTCGCCACTTTTTCCTCTCCGATAGTATATAAGGGATGAGAAGAGTGAGCCCTCCGTCGTCGTAGAGCCAGTATATGTCGATGAATGACAACTTGGATACCTCTCTCACAAGTTTGACATCTTGAATACCCTCATGATTTGTCACATCCATTATACTCGACAACATTGGCCGCAATTGTCTCCTATTTTGTTTGCTCTTCTCTTTCTTATTGTAATGTTTGCTTATTTTGTGGTTTCGGTAAATAATAAGTGACTTTTGTGTCTCAAACACATCACTGAAATTCATGTTTTTCAAAATATTTTCAAAATTACGTCTATTTATCATTAGTTTAATGAAAATACTGACTGAAATATATTGAAATAATCGGTAATTTCATCACTCGTCGACTGTTTCCAAGAATCCCGGAATCCAAGCATAACTATATTGGGACTCAAGTTATTGCCAAAACCACAACACTATTTAGGAGACAAATAAATAATTATACGACATATAAATTAAATAGATTTAAATGCAAACCTGGATCAACATGTTAGATCCGTCGCCTATAGTTTTGGCTGTTATTAGTTTATAGAAACACTTAATATCGTTATCCCTAAACCATTTGTTCCACACGTTAGCGGTTTTGAGTTTATATTCATAGGCGATGTCATTGGATACGATGTCTCCGACAAACAGCAGCCCTCTGTGTCGAGTGATCTGATCAGCCATTGATATTAAGTCTTCATTATTGATGGGAAGTCCCGATAAAAGTAGAATCGATGGCTTAAAAGTCTTTGCGTGTTCTGAAGTGGTGTTCAATTTGTGAGCAAAAGCAACGGTTGTCTTATATAACTGAGATTCCGGTGTTTGTCCCCAATTGACATCTGGTTTAATGTGATTAATGAATGGATTGTTTAATACATTTATGTAAAAAACAATTAAATATTATTTTTCAAACCTGATTTATATACTAATTTAATGACAAAAACAATGGCCATAATTCCCACCACAGCCAGTGATATATACCATGATATGGCAAACATGAACGCAAAACACAATAAACCGATCGCAAGACTAAACCATTTGTTGTAATATCTGAATAAAGGCCTCCAATTAGAGCCCTTAACGTAATCGCAATGAAAACACGCGATATTAACCAAAGCCCACGAACACAGATAGCATATGGAGGTAATTGTGGCCAAAATGTTAAACTTAGAAATGGCCACAAAAATGAGGGACACAAAGAATGTGAGAATATATCCCCGTCGGGGGTCCGCGTGTTTTCCGTACGGCTTTGAAAACCATATAACATAAGGAAGCAATCGATCAAATCCTAAAGACTTGATTTATAAATTCAATAAATGTATTATTGTATAAAAATCAATAAAATTACTTTCAAATGCTTTCAAAATACCTGCAAAATTCTGGGCGCACTTATGAAGGCAATCATCGCAGAGGATAGTGATTGAGATAAGAGTCCGGCCGAGTATAGGGGCTCAATATAATGGGTTCTGTCGCCTATTTGGGTGAGCGATGACATCACTTGCATAGTGTATGGATTATTACTGGAACCACTGGAGCAGTTCTGTTGCAAAGTACACGTATAGTTATTATATTGATAATCGGCTATATTTCCGGTGGCGTATCGATTAGTTCCCGACGTAAACCAAATCATTTGTATGACATAAACCGATTGTGTGGTCAATATTCCCAATAGTGATCCTTTGGGTATCGCAACTTTTGCTGCAAATTATATCGCATTTTAATATATTTGACAAAACAAACTCATTATTTTAATGAGAAGAAAACATGTGTTAATGAGTCGTTAAACTATTTACAGTTAAAACAATAGTGATTTTGAAGTTATAATACAAAGAACTTATGGTGTAATGAATTGAATATAGGATATTACAGTATAAAGTTTATTGAATGGAAAAATAAAATATAATTTCATACGATTTCTGAGACTCGATGCGAGAGTGACTCCCGTAAAGTCACCGCAAAGTCCGGACAAATAGACTGAGAATACGGAGAAGAATGTCTGTCCACTCCATTGCGGCAATAGATTGGTCTTAAAACACGTGTCATTCCAACCGACGACTCCGTTCACCATTTGATAAGGAGTTGACGGCAGAAAAGCACCGACAATAAAGTCCAACATTGAAATCATTACAATTACAAACAGAAACCATTGCGTCTGAAATGATATGAAATGAAATAATATGTTTAGTTATATAATATTTATATATTCTATGATTAATAAAGTTGTTTATCTGATTGTGTCTCACTTTAGCTTCAAAATCCAGACTAATGAATGGTATGGTTGCGACGATTATAAGTGTTAATACGCCGATCACTCGTTGATTATTTAAACTCGAGGCGTTTGGCACTATTTGCATGTCCAGATTCTGAATATTAATTATATTTTAGTACATTTTAATAGATTATGACAATTAAGAAACAGATTTTGAGATGAAGTAAAAATACCTGTAAAATATTGTCGATAACAATTGAATTCCCGCTTATACTCAACGCAACCATAATAGCGTTCGTTAGAAAGTATACGATCCCAAAGACGGTACCGATTTCTGGGCCTAAGTTTCTGGATATTAAGTAATAAAGACCGCCTAAACCCACGTGACCGTTGGTCACCAGCGTTGATATGGACAGAACGGTACCGCAAAGTATAGCTGATCCAACAATGATCATAATCAAAGACAGGACTAAACAACGGTTATAAATAATAAGGTTATAGAAACTGGACATTGAGTTCTTTGATAAGTACTAACTAAGACCCGATTGGGCGGCCATAATACTGGACTGAATGAAAAAAGCGGTTCCCAAGAGATTCATAAATTGCGGTATCTGTATTTGTACAAAGGATTATTAAATTGCCATTGAATTGTATGGCAAATTAAATGATAACTTACGTAAACCATTGTAAAGTATCCATATTTGTCTTTCTCGTCCACTTCAACAAAGCTTTCAGTTTTTTCAACTTTAGGACTGATTTCTATATTAATTGAATCCTAACATGCATTCAAAATATCAATTAATAAAATAATGTTTTAAATAATTTTGACATTTCTTACAATTATTGAGTAAATGTTGGGATTTTGATGCAACTGCTGAACACTGGGTCTCTCGACGTGATTGAAATCAAATGTCTTGAGATAGTGTTCAAGACGTGGCGTGTCGTCCATAGCACTGATGCAGTCATAATGGCCAGAATCGATGGAACTGTCAGTCGAATCATCTCTTATTAATCCTTTGATTGTCAGGTTTGATAATCGCAGAGACATTATAGCGATTAACTATAGAAACTTTATGATAATAATAGATAACACTTTCACAATTTTACAAACTTTCAACATTTCCTACAACTTATTTAATTCTCAATAAGAGCTGAGATTCAATAACAAACAATAATAATGACAAGTGCTATCCTTATATACCAAATGTGTTGTGAATGTTGTAATGAGTTTGCTTTCAGTTGTTTCGGCATTGATTACATATTAATTAATTCAATTCATTTCATTGCGAATTAACGCTTACTTATGTATTGTTTGGAATTTATTTGACTACAAATGCCTTATCATTGCAATCCATAGACAACACCAAAACACTTAACATTTAAACAACATTAAAACATCAATTAATTAAGTTTGATCTAAACTTACAGTCAATCCACACTTTTTATTGGATTTGGGATATGGGATTGGACTGGGAACTTTTATTCCCATCACTCACTCCCATATCTCATGAAATATTTTTGTTTATACATTATTCTCAAATATAAAAATAAACTTTATGGTAGATTTTTATTGAATTTTTGGCACAAATGCGTGGGAAAATCAATATATTGCTAATAAATGATAGATATAAAATTATTATTAAATCATAACTGGATACGTCCTGGGAATTAATATCAATAACTAATCATTTTTAAGTTGTTTATTATATTTTTACATTGTATATATCTTATTTAAGGATCTATCATGGAATAATTATTTTTTGCAGAAATTAATAAAAGGTTACATGGAATTTTTATTTAAAACAATCATAAGATAAAGTTATTTAGCAATTTAATTATTTATTAGGCGTGCATTACGTACTGTATTTAAAATACGGTATTTGCGTAGATTCAGCATTCTACATTCATATGCATTTACAAATTAACATTCAGGTAGAAATTGTATCACATTATTATAGTTAATTACTCTTTATGCGATTAAAACTTTAAAACTTTTAAATGTTTGCTAACTTGTAAGAAATATAATGTAATTTTACAAAGAATGCACTAATAACTCCATAACTAACATGTTTTAAATCATTTAAAATCATAAAAATCTAATTATTTATTATGGATAACATACAATTAATAACTAATTTGATATATCATCAAATCCTAATAATATTATCATAATATTAATAAATCATCAACAATTATCAATATTAAAATAATTAAATAATTACAAATCAGAACAACATGTTTATTATAACGTTTCACATAAAGAATGAAACGATAAAATAATTAATTAACAAAAACGGTAAATAATTTAATGATTTCTCACATATTTGTTATAAAATAATTGAATTTAAAATCATATTTCACAAAATTTTAGATGCAATAAACAGAATATTGTTACTAAATCGATTAAGCTATAAATGCATTAATTATGCCATAAAACTGTAGGCAAACAATTCAATCATTCAATAATTGATTAATTGGAGAAAATCTTAAACAAAATAAAATCTAATTTGTAATTGACTTTTAACTAATAGTCGATAGCATTAGTGGACGAAATAAAATGTCATTATTGTCTTTGGTGTTGTTAATGTCAACGCTTACCACCGATGGTAAGGGCGATGTCATCGACCGGACAAAAGACAATTACATGGGACTGAAGAGACCAATGATTGTCGCTTACTATGAATACCAATCAAAGAGCACTTCCAATATGAATAAGTATTGGCGAAACCGAATGCAAATTGTGTCCAATGATCACAAAGATATCTCATTTGCCGTCTCAGACGTGGATCAGTTTCGCCAACAACTCGCCGACTATGGCCTCGAGTTTGATTGGGAGACAACACTTCAATCACAACCCATTGTGATCGCCGAAGACTCAGATGAAATGCTATATGTTTTGGATCGCAAACTGCAAACCGATTCGTTGCGTGAATTTGTGGATAAATTCAAGACTAAAGACTTGATCCCACACATTAAGAGCGAACCCATTCCTCTTAACAGTGATAACGTTGTCAAAGAAGTGGTCGGAAAGACATTCAATGAGTTAGTTGTGGATAACGAGAAGGATGTGCTGCTTCTGATGTACGCCCAGTGGTGCGGACACTCTCGGGAAGCGCTACCTATTTGGCAGAAGTTGGCCAAAGAGATGACAAATGAACTCAATGTAGATATTCTGCAGATGGAAGCGACGAAGAACTGGTCGCCCAAACCATTCAAAACACACAGATATCCAACAATCTATTGGTTGTCATCTCTGAACAAACTTGAGCCGCAAGTCTACACCGGAGAGAAAAGTGTCCGACAATTGATTCAATATATCGCTCACATGTCGTCCAAACCATTGACTACTTATGATAGAAATGGAGATCTGATTGCAATACATAGACCAGAGCTCTAGTCTTTCTGTCATCTCTTTACTAATGAATTTATTTTGTATTAATTGTCACTTATTTTCTCTAAACACTTGTTTTACTCATTTATACTGATATTTGATTAAATTATTTAGTTTTAAATATTAAAAGTAAAAATGCGTTATTAAATAAAAATTAGAAAAAAATAATTACACTTTTATAAAGCAAATAATTTATGATTTAAGACATTTGCCTTTACTATAGTCTAAAATGGTGTTAAAGACACTGTCGATAGTGTTTTTGACAAACATTAGGTTCTCATCGCTAAGATTTCTGGTGTCATCAGTGGAGTGGTGATAGTTGTGGCGCATATTCTTCCTCCACGGACCCAAGTCTGTGATGAGAATCGCTGGGAATGTCATCTGATGTTCGGTCGGGTACCAGAAGGAGGCGTGATCTGAGCGCATGAATGTCTCGTACTTTCGCAACCGCTCGGCGTTGGCCTCCACTTGAGAGCCCAATTCAGGCAAAGGCGGTGCCATTAAAGACAAGCCGTACTTCTCTTTGTTCACCCAATTCTTGTCCAATCGGTCGTACAGTTTAGTGTCGATCCCTTTTCGGGCCCAAACGGCCGCGAAGTCTCCCCGATAGCCGTTTTGCTTCACTTTTG